ACTATGAAAATAACATTTTTGGGCTCTTTCGTAAGTTTTATTGGTTAAGTCTATATACTTATATAGCTGACATTTTTTTGTCCTATATTTTTGCTTTTCACACATTTTTTTATTTTCAAATTAATATTTTGTTACACAGTTAAATCCTTAAACTTTTATTTTATACACATTTAAATTATTTTTAAAAATTTTTTAAAATATAATTAAACAAGCTTAACATTGGGTAGAAAGACCCTCTCCATCTTCCTAATCCAGTGACATGTATTGGGTTGCAAAAATCCCCTTTTGATAAAATTTCCTTAATACAAACTTCCTTCTAGACCAAGTAGCTTAGGCAACATCTTAGATATATAGGTGGCCAAGTGCCATAGGAGGCGGTGCGTCTATGTACCGTACGAGGCGGGACGGCCACATTGCGGAAAACTTAAATTTTATTGAATGTGATTGTAATTTTTAATTTTTAATTTTGATTTTTAAAATTTAAATAATTAAAATTAATATTTAAAAATTAAAATTAAAATTAAAATTATCAACTTATTAAGCATAAAATTTTAAAACAAATATTTAAATTTTAAAATTTAATGATTTATAAAAATTTTTAATTTTACTTTAAGATTTTTAAATTTTAAAAAATTAAAAACTCAAAACTATAATTATGCTAATAGAGTTTTATTGTATGCTTTGATTAAAGGGAATAGAGAGGATGGGAGGAGAAGAGAAAATTGTATCATTTTATATTTCTCTTTTTTTTTTCTTTTTTTTTTCTCATTTGAATAAGTAAATAAACTAAAAAAAATAAAAAAAAATTCTTCCCTTTCTCTCCTCTCTAATTCTTTTAAGTATTAAATAAATAATTTTTTTATTTTTCTTAATTCAAATATACTATTATTATAAACCAACTTAATAAACTTGATAATTTATTACTAAATCTACAAATTTAAGTTAATGATTCAAAATTTTACTCTTATCACATACTTGAAAATATTTCTCACCTAGTTCAATTAGCTTGTTCAAAAAAAAAAAAAAAAAACTACTATTATTCGTATGGTTTGCAGAAAATAATTTTTAAGAAAATTGTAGTTACGAAAACTAATCAATATATTGATACCTGGCTCTATCAGAATTAATGTCCATTTATGAATGACTGAGAATATCTGCCTGGAATTCCATGCCAAAGATTCCCACCCCATAAAGCCGATAATGAAGCAATCTAATCCCGGCGTCCCCTTATTGGGGGTACTCCATTTGATTGGTCATTGGTTCCCTATGATTGATTTCTTGTCTTGGGGATCTAGGTTTCATTCCTAGCCAGTAGCCAAGCCATCGCCAACTTGCTGACAAATACAAAAGAACAAAGAAAAGGTTCAATTTCTCAACAAAAAATGACATAATCGTAGTCTCGAAGATTTATATGTATGTATATATATATGAAGAAAATTTTATATATTATATT